AGAGGTTTTAGTCTGTCAGAGCCCAGCTGATACACTTAACTGTGACCCAATAAATAACAATTTTATACTTTTGATCCACTCTGGTTTATTCTCAGGTTTCCAACTAAAGAATCGGGCTAACAAACTGCTTAATCTAATGGCCACAGAGCTCCTATTAGCACCAGATGACCGGCCTCACACATGAATATGGGCCTGCATGTTTCCCAAAAAATATTGGCAATTTAAATATATAATCCAGGCTAAAAGGAAGACTGAACCCAAAGCCGTGAAGAAAAACTGGCAGTGTCACTCTGAGATTTTCTTTTTTTTCTGTTTCCCTGCCAACACAACAGAGGCAGAGGGGGGTCTGACTATAACTCGTGTTTTATTTAAAGTAAGCGTTACAGAGTTTTTTAGCACCATGCCGAGACAAGTTCAGTCTTATTCTATTAACCACGAACAGGCCTGAGTGTGAGCCAGTAAACAACAAACATTGAAGCATAACTCACACCAGAAAATCGGCTTATGAGCAAATGAGATTAAAGGTAATACACAGCTATTTGTTTTGACTGCAGAGATCGTTTGACTCAGTGCAGAAGTGTGAAAAAGCTCTTTCTGAAGATGCAGATTTATTGGGTGTAAAAAGAGTGCTGTTTTTTTGTATTTGTTTAAATAGATGAAAATATAACAAATAATATAATAAATAAAAATAAATAAATTTGAAATTAAACAATTAAATAAAATTTAAGATTAAAAATGTAAGAATTTTAAATTATTTTATTTTTTAACTCAAAAACAGATGATTCCATAAAGAGAGCAATTACCAAAATCTGTTTGAGCTAAAACTTGATTGACAGGCTCATTATATTGTGGGATGTCGGAGTTGTGTTCACTAAAAGGTTTTTTTTATCACACCAAGTTGTTTATTGTTTTTAATCTGAGATGGTTTTTATCTTAAATGAATGTGGGATGTAATGATTTTCAAAATGCCTCGGTGTAGAAGTCTCAAAACTTCTACAGTCCTCAACCCAAATCAAAACGCCAGATACTAAATGTTCACAGTCTTCTCAGCATTATCAGGACTTTGCCACATCAAGGCCCTATCGTCAGCCTCTAAAAAAAGAAGACTTTTCTATGAAGTTGTAGCAAATCCAGAGCGTTAACTCATTG